ACCCGGAATTATGCAACGTTGTGACATAATTGCATTTATAAATGAATAATTCAAAAATCCCTGGTTGGCTGTATCATTGATACAGCCATATTTTTTTATGCGTGGATACGTCTATGTATGAATGGATATATGACTAATTGATAAAAAATAAATAAATAAACAAATTGAAGACACTAAACACTAAATAAATAAATATTCGTTGCGTTCATTTGTTGAATGAAAAAGTATTCACTAGCGCCAATAGATGGCGTTAGTGCATATACTCCTGCTGACAGAATGCCCATCCCCCTGCAGAGCAAGCATAGTTCACTTATACGCCAATAGATGGCGTTAGTGCATAAGCTCCTGCTCACAGAATGACCCCCTGTAGAACGAAAACATAGACGTATCCACGTCAAAAAAAGACACTGGTTGGCTGTATCATTGATACAGCCATATTTTATGCGTGGATACGTCTATGTATGAATGGATATATGAGTAATTGATAAAAAACAACCCGGAATTATGCAACGTTGTGGCATAATTGCATTTATAAATGAATAATTAAAAATATAAATAAATAAACAAATTGAAGACACTAAATAAATAAATATTCGTTGCGTTCATTTATTGAATGAAAAAAGTATTCACTAGCGCCAACAGATGGCGTTAGTGCATATACTCCTGCTGACAGAATGTCCCTCCCCCTGCAGAGCAAACATAGTTCACTTATACGCCAATAGATGGCGTTAGTGCATATACTCCTGCTCACAGAATGACCCCCCTGTAGAACGAAAACATAGACGTATCCACGTCAAAAGAAAAATAAACAAATTGAAGACACTAAACACTAAATAAATAAATATTCGTTGCGTTCATTTGTTGAATGAAAAAAGTATTCACTAGCGCCAACAGATGGCGTTAGTGCATATACTCCTGCTGACAGAATGCCCCTCCCCTGCAGAGCAAGCATAGTTCACTTATACGCCAATAGATGGCGTTAGTGCATAAGCTCCTGCTCACAGAATGACCCCCCTGTAGAACGAAAACATAGACGTATCCACGTCAAAAGCGTCGATATCGAGCATTCCTTGTTTAAATCCATGATAAACAGATAGGTTTAAACTTTAAACCGCATGTTAGAGTTTGGCAAGCGAAACGTGACACCACCTATTTTTCCGTTTTCATATGGCAACAACATAGAACTGTCAGTTTGACACTACGTTAGACAATTCAAGAATATTGAATTTTGTTGTTTTTGCGAATTTGAACTTGTGTTTTTGGTTAAAAATTATGTCGAAGCCGATAAAAAGTTCATCGAGGAAACTTCTTTCCATCATGATTGACAAGTTTACTGAAGTGAAAACTGAATTAAATAAAAATTTCATGGAGAAATTACAACGATTAGATAAAGTTGTATCTTTTTTAGGTTAGTTTTGTATTATAATTTTGATACTTTCGTTTTAATTTTCTGTAATTAACTAAACAGATATTTTTTATAAAATATTGCTCTATTTCAGATAACTGTGATGGTGATATTCAACCAATAATGGAGGAGATAAATGCAATAAAAACTTTAGAAAAACAAGAAATGCTGAATTCGGAAACGCAGTACTTACAAAAAATTTCTTCAATGACAGGTCTCTTTTCTTGTTTTGATTTAAGATAGATTGATAGTATTCCTATAATATTTACATAGGTTTTTTATGATGTATTGGTTTTTATTGTTGACATCCAATGATGTCATAAGAATGTTTTGTTTAACAAGGAAATTCACAGAATTCATGAAACTAATCAAACCATGTAATTGTTATACATGCTAAATATGCACATAAACTTAACTAAATTAAACATAAATTGCATTCATAGTTGAATAGGTATTTAAATTATTTTGATGTATGTGTCTATCATTATTTGCTTTTAAATACATTTAACATATCTTTGTTTCAAAGTGTTTAATCTTTTATAGATGTAAGTATAAGGACACTAAGAAGGATAAAAAATGAAGCATTAATTAATAAAGGAAAATGGGACACTCCTGGGAAAAAACGACCTCATCAACCAACAGTGTCTGCTTTAGATAATTTTGATTTAAGTGCAATTCGGAATAAAGTAAATGAATTTTACTGTGTGAAAAAAATTGTTCCAACATTAAGAAGCCTTCACAATGAATTAAAAGATGCAATAGGATTCAGTGGTAGCCGTGAGACTTTACGAAAAATTATGCTTAAGAATGGATTTTCTTTTAAAAGCAATGAAAATGAACGTTCTATGCTTATAGAAAAATACCAGATTTCTGCATGGAGGCACAAGTATTTGAGAGAAATAAATATAAAACGAAACGAAGGAAAGCAAATTGTGTACCTTGATGAAACTTATGTACATCAGAATTATAAAGTTAAAAAGTCTTGGCAAGGACCTTCAACAACTGGTGTCACTACAAAGATATCCTCTGGAAAACGGCATATTGTTGTGCATGCTGGATCTGAGGAAGGTTTTGTGCCTGGTGCATTATTAGTGTTCAGTAGTAAATCCAAATCTGCTGATTATCATGATGATATGAACTCATCGAACTTTATGAAATGGGTCAGAGAAAAATTAATACCAAATTTAAGTAAGCCCAGTGTAATTGTTATGGATAATGCCAGCTACCATATAAAACAAATCAATAAACCGCCTATAATGTCTAATACCAAAGCAGATATCCGTAAATGGCTTGTAAATAATGGAATACATTTTGAGGAATATCAGACAAAGGCAGAGTTAATGTGTTTGGTTAATGATAAGAAAACATTGCCTGTATATGAAGCTGAAGAGATTTTAAAAGAACATAATCATGAACTTTTATTGCTGCCACCGTATCATTGTGACTTAAACCCAATAGAGATGGTTTGGAGTCAAGCAAAAAGAAAAATTGCAAGCAGAAACATTGGAATACCAGGAAAGGAAATGGAAAACTTAATAATAGAGTGTTTTAACTTAATTACCCCTAGTGACTGGAAGAAATACACTGATCATGTTTTAAATGTCGAAAATGATTACAAATTAAAAGATGGCATTGTTGAAAACGAACTTGAAAAATTTATTATATCTGTTGGTGCAGACAATAGTGAAGAGAGTGACTCTGATGATTCCTTGTCATTGTTATCAGGTGTAGAATATTTAGAAACAGATTTTGACTATGAATCAGACTAAAGTATTTTTAGTCTGATTCATAGTCAAAATCTTATCTTAAATTTTCTATTGTGATTAACATGATGATTTTGTGACACCTGTATTATGTAATTTATCCATGGCACTTAATTGTAACAAAAATAAATGTTTTTTTTATTGTAATCTGGTGTTTATATTGACTAATTTAATTTGATAGATAGTGGTTCTGGATCAGAGCAAAAGGTTGTGATGAAAATCCCTTAGGAGACATGTATGTGTTATGAACACATTATAAATATAAGGGCCAGAAATCAAAATTGGCTAACATCACATTTATTAAAAAAATGTGGCCAGAGTCGCCCATATTCATTACAAAAAAACAAAGAAGTCGTTGCAAAAAACACCCTTTTAATTAATGACAAATATGAATTTTTAATATTATAAGTGCTGTTAGCCAATAGGTATAACGAATGGGTTAAAAAAAAGATTCGATTTAGTCCGTCAGTCAGATAATAGAAAACAATTGGATACGTATTTTTTTTCGCTTTAATTTAACAACAAATGGCTTAAGAGGTACTATGCGACGACTTCAAATATGCTTTGCAACAATGTTACTTTAATACAGTTTATCGATACGAAATCAAGTGATGACGATTCTTGGTTGTCAGTTGAGTTAGTGAATAGGCCTACTGATATGCTGTTAACTGTACAATTAAGAACAGTCACGCTTTAGTCAAATGTTCCAAAACAAATAATTTTAATTGATATCTAAATGTTAAGATTAAATATAATTAATAAAAGTATCAAAATTATTTTGCAGTACTACATTCAGTGTTTACTGCTTAAGAATTTTTGAAATTGCCGCCCTTTTCTTGTGACACGTTTCGCTTGCCAGACTCTATACGCTCGTTCCTCGAAAAGCATAAGAACGTAAAATGTAATTAAAATCGAGAGTAGATTCGATATTGGTCGAATGGCATCGCATCGAGCCATGACATGCAATCAAGGCGGCAACGCTTTTTTGCTCTGCTACGAGGAGCTGGCTTATATTTACATGCAAGCATTTGGATGGGGAAAAAGTTTTATCCTTTAAATGATTTGAAATAATATTTAATATCATTAGGTACTTCATAAATTTAACTTCAAAGAGCTCCACCTTCCTACGTCGTAATACAACCTTATGCCGGCGGCTTTTGAGAACAGTGTGAATGGTATTAAGTAGACATAAAACGCATGAGTTTCGTGCGAACGTGCACCTAATGTGCGTACCACAAACGTTTTAATGAATGAAACGAAACAAAAACTGAAAAATATCTATTACTATTACTTGGAAGAAAAAAAAAATTCATTTTTTTACCAATACAGGTATGTTTTCTTCTCCAAAAAAACTAAACTTTTCCGAAAAAGCCCTTTTTTTGGGTTGCCAGATAGGAAGATTAAAATATCTGGGCAAAATTTAGTAAAAACCGATACATTCATGTTTCGTCTCGCAAAATTATTGATAATTAAAAAAGCAAATGAAAATATTTCTAGGTTGTTTCAGCCATTACCGATACCGAGCGATTTATCACATTTGAAGGGTTATTTTCTTCTTTTTCGGGACTCTGGACATCTTCTGAAGAGTCCGAACAATTCAGACACATCCCAACCATCTGGCGACCCCACTCTTATCAGAGGACCTCGCAAAATGTTTGAATTTAAGGTTTGCAATGCACTGCCATATCTATTGCCCTGAGCGCTGCTGTCCAGAATAAAGTGTGAAATCATTACGTATGTAACTTTTAACTTTAACTAATTTCAATCTTTTTTGATCAAACACATATTTCAACATTGAACTTGAACATTCTTAAGTCTAGTAGAACTCTTACCTGTGCCTTAACATTGCTGATCTACATGATGAAGAAACAAGGACACCACCTTTAGCCCTCATCTGTGCACAAACCATGAACATACCTGGAATTTTAACATAAACCAACACATTTAGCACAGCACAACCTGTAAATACTGTCTATAGTAATAATATTAATAATTTATTTCAATCATCATTTAGGTTCATATTTAGATATTAAATTCAAAACACTTATCATATTTAGATATTAAATTCATAATACTTATCGACTCAGCAAAAAAAAATCTATAGCCTAACTAAAATAACTTAATATTTTCAATTTTTGTATCTGTCAAGTTTAATGGTTGTAACCTTCATACAAAGCAAAAAGTTTGATATTGAACAAAACTTTTATAACAAACTCAAAAGCATGAAAAAAAGTATTTTTTTAAACAAGCTACTCGAAAGCTTTTGAATGAATTGTCAAACATTTCACCCAATTATATAAGAAAAAGGTTACCTAAATCTTTATTAATCTGAGATTCTGGCATTTCCAGTATAACTTTGACCCTGTAAGGCTGCGCTGGCATTAACATATGGCTCCGTCTTGTAAGCTGGACGTGTGCAGATAAAAATGAACATACACCCATGTTCTCATCGCATGACCTGTGTTAGAATAGCTAAGTAGAGTCATATTAAAACTAGTTTTGTTTAATTAAAACACACAACTAGGCAGTCACCGACTAACCTCATTGGAGGCCTGGGGCAGTAATAGGCCTAGATTGACAACTTTTTCAATAAGGAACAGAACCTTGATTTCCTAAGTTAACAGCACATTAAAAACTTTAATCAGCACATTAATATAAACAGTATTTCTATTTGTGAATAGAAATATCTAAAGTGATGTTATTATTGTTTCACTGGTGACTTTGTTTCTAAGCTTTTTAGATATTCATACTGAATTTGTTAATCTAATATATTTATATATACTCTGCTACTATATTATATGCTATCCAAATCTTTCTAGCCATCTCAATCACAAACCAACTTTATCATTTGATTTATGAAAAGTATTTCAAAGAAGCCAGAAAAGGAAACAAGCTCAAAAAGGAATACTACAGTTAAGCATAACAAGTACACTTGTTCTACAGAGATGTAGGTGGACACAATTCCAATTTACTCTTATTCTTATACTGTTTCATTAACTCTCATCCAGTGGTACAACTATCCTTACTATCTACTGTATTATAAACTGTGTAACAGAATGAGGTTAGAACTTACTTAAACTGAAGATGAACCGGCCTAACGTGGGTTACATTTGGCATGTATGTGTAGTAAAATACCACATACATGAACACAGAGATCCACAATATCGCACTGAGAAAAATTGATATAACTCCGACTTTATATAGCAATGCTCTTGCACTGTTTATACCCTCGTCGGTCTTCTTCTTATATCCTAAATATTGTTTAGCAACAAATACTTCTATCGGAGTACGTACGTATTCACGAAATAAACGAAAAGGATTCATATAAATTAAAAGAGACATTTTAACGCGACGTATTAGACGAAATTTTAATCAATAACAATGATCGTAAAAAATAAACCGGATCTAGTCTTTCGAGGGTAGATTATTTTTGTAGATAAAGTTTGTCCTACAGAGATAACTTCGTCAAAAGTATGTAGATAAATCACTTCTGAATGCTATTTCATTTTGGTTATATTTCAATTTAAAGCAAATAAACTTATTAATATGAATATCAAGGCATATTAAACTTTTTACTTAGGTAAATTTGAAATCAATTTTAAATACAAGACAATGTTTTAAAAAGTAAACCATTTTGAAAACATCATAAACTAGACAAGAATTTGACAATTTATTGTCAGTCAATGTCATTTAGTTCATTTTTTCCATAGAGTAAGGTAGAGTGGAAATATTTTCTATGGTTATATAAATATCATGCAATCTGAAGTTGACATCAAAAACATCATGTTGTCTTTTTTTAACTAATAAGAAGTTTCTTTATTAAACAAAGATAACACTAGTGTGACAGTTCAAAATTTTTTACGTGACGTCATGAGATATAGCTATCGTACCACCTGTCAGCCATTTGCAAATTTGCTTTGCGTATTCTCGGAAGTAGTTCAGCTGTCAGTGTTATAAGTTTTGTGGTTATTTTCATTTATAACTTTAATTTATATAACTTTCATGGCAGAAAATTGTAAATTATTTATGCAAAACAATGTCTAGGTGCTGTATAATTGGTTGTGCGTCATCAATATCCCGCAAACCGAGCAATATTACGTTTCACCGGTAAGTTAAACACTTTCTTGGAATAACAGTATTTAAAACGTAAGTAAGTTATTCTGAAAATGATTGCGTGTATAAATCGATACATATCGTATTTTGGCGTGTTCTATTTATGCTATATTGCTCTTTTCGTTTATATTTTTATAATATTTCGGTCCGTAAATAATATTGTTTACATGGCTAGTGTCGTTACTTTAACATATGGTTTATATCGATAATTTTAATATTTAGAAATATATTAATTATTTTAGATTACCAAAAGATGAAACAAAAGAGGAAAATGGCCGAGTTACATAGAAGCAGAAAATATTAAATGTAATGAAAAAGTTACTTTTATCTGCTCACTTCATTTTAGGGAAAGTTGTTTGAATCGAACTTTAAATATAATAAAATTACGAGATGATGCATTGCCAATCAAATACTCTGGTAAGAATTTTTGACAATTGCTTTTAACTTATTTAAAAAAAATGTCTATTACACTTAGTTAATTTTCATTTGATTTTACTGATTTATTTATTTAGTTTTTTATATAGTCATTTTGTTATTCTATAAATGTACCTTATTTTTAGTCTTGCGGTCATATGACGACTATTTTAATTGAAAAAAATCAGAATGCAATATATAATAATATTAAAATATAAAATTCTGTTCATAATATACTCCCAGTAAAATATACAATAAAATGAGTTAAATAATTTTAATAAAAATTAAAATATGCACACTTATCAAATTAAAGGCATAGTTAAAGGTTTTCTTTGCTGTTCAATAGTATAATTTTAATACCCAAATAATTATTCTGCGGCGTGGATGTTTATTTTGCTGATGCATCATAAAATACGCTACCTTTTTGAGTTTAAATTGCTGATCGTTATCATGATTGTTCACAGAACATGAATTGCAGACTGTTTTAGTGCTGAGAAAATATTTGTATGCTTGCCTATTGATTAATCGGCTGTTTTCTTCTTGCTAACCAAATTTTAAAATAAAATGCCAATTGTTACTTCTTTAATAATGTTACTGTTATGCCAATTGTTACTTACTCATCACCAACTTTGTTTTCTTTATTTTCTCTTGTTTATTCATCAAAGTTTACAGTATTTTTATGTTCTTTTACCAATAATATAATACAAAGATTATGTAGGTGTTTCAAGTTTTCTATGTTTACTAATAAACAAGATGTTCTGAACTAAAATTGTGACACAGTACGCACGGTATCTCACTTAATGAGGAGGAAGCGAAATTTATTCAGTCAAAACAATTTATTGAATAAATTTATAGACAAGTTGGCTTACTAGTTACAAGCATATAAGAAAGTCGAAACTCTGTGCTTATAGTTCAGCAATCTATTACGGGAAACCTTGTACCGAGAAAAGAAAAAAAAGAAAGGAACCGGTAAGAAACTGCAAGGGCTGCTTTTGCACCCTGTTTAATTTCGTACTGAAAAATAAAAAATGACTTCATTGGACCAAAATGTCACTTTCCACCAAAACAATAAAAAATATATAACAGACAAAAAAAGCATAATAATTCATTCGTCAATCGACTCATTAAAAGCTTATTATAGTTTCCGTGGTAGTTATCTTGGACAGTAGTCACACTTCCCGTGGATGCAAAATTAAACTTATGTTAAAAAAACTATTTAATTATAATTGCAAAATGTCAACTTGACAATATATATGGAAATAATTATAAAACACGATTGATATTATTGTAAAACTTTTAAGATATATATTTTGGTACTATAGTTCTTAAAACTATGTAAAATTGGCTATATTAGAGGTAAAAGAAACATATTTATCGAGGTACAATCATATTATAAAATTATATTATTAAATATTATAAATGTGAAAGTTTGTGAGGATGGATGTTGGTTACTCTCATGTAAAAACTACTGAACGGATTTTGATGAAATTTGGAATACGAATAATCTTTTACCCGTGGGAAGCGCCATCATACGCTGGTAACATATGTTATATTTACTATAGTGACGCAACGGAGTCGCAAGAACAAAGAACGCAAGAAATTTTAGATGTCCAACAAAATATGAGCAAAATAATTGATAAATTCACACCACTTTTAAAAAAATATTATTTTCTTGATACTGGCGTGAATTTTTCAATTTAATTAATAATAATCATAAATAGGATTGGTACGTAAGTGTGAAAAATAACAATGAAAATTATATTATATTATTTAATAAGTAGTAGTATTGTAGCAGTTTCACGAAATACTAACTTTTATTTAATATGACTTCAATGTCGATACAAATATCGATATCTTGGGTCACGCCCTATGACAATCCGCCATCGAAGAATTTGCATTTGAAGTTTAGGCATATACGCTTTTTTCGTAGGTATGGCCGGTCCTCTTCTTTTATGTCTATGATTTTTTCTTACAAGTTGTATATAAATACCTACTAGGTCTATGGTTGTAAACAAACAACTGTCAAACTACTATAAATATCTAAATATACTTTGGATCATCGCCATCTTTCATTAATTTCATTTTCATTTTACATGTAGAAATTAATTTATTCACTTGACATTGGCAAAATTGTGCGAAATGCGCATATAAGCCATTAATAATAGAAGAAGAAGAAATATACTTTAAGCTGTCAAGCACAAATCACGAGCTAACAAATGAATCGTCTAATGAGGAAGTATTAAAAAAAAACGAAAGCAGTAAAAAAGCATCTCCACTAGATGGCGACTCTAGCAAAAGTTGATTTTTGCAGGAAATGTATGGACCAAAGACAGTAATTTCCGTTTCTTTTAACTAACATATTAAAAAATTGAAATTTGAAAAGTTCGAGTCCTAGATATCAATACAAATACGAAAAAGTACAAATAGAATATGATTTGTTTATTGAGTTTTGAAAATTAATTTACTCTTATACATGAAAGAAATCCAGAAGTCATGGAGAAATCAAGAACGTACCGTAGCGACATCTAGTTTGATTCCGGGAACTATTTTTTTTTTAAATACTTGCTCATTAAACTGATGTAACCGCTTATGCACATTAGTTTATTAACAAATTTATTTTCACTAAAAATAGAGAAGGGGCTCTATTTTAAATAACTTTTCATCCAAAATCGTAAACTGACAATGTCATTGATCATAGACAAACTAGATGAAGTGAAGCGTAACTTAGACATTCCCTTAATAAGGAGGTATTTAAAAAATAAAGAAACTACAAAATTTTATATCACTATGATAACTGCTAGAGCGAGGACTTTATAATGAAATGCTTAATAAAATGAATTAAATAATATTATATTACTACATAAGTTTACAAGTTTATAAGTCGGTTACAGAACAATAATTTTAAACTACTAATCACAAAATCAAAGAATATACTAAAAGTCAAAAAATTATAAAAAAGGAACATGTCATAAAAACTTCTAAAATATGTACACTATGCCAACTAGTTTCTAACATCCCCCCCCCCCAGTGGAACACTAACATTCGTTGGAAAGTGGCTGGCAGTCAGCGCTTATAGGTATAAGCTTCCGGATTGGGAGGCGCAAGGTACCCCCTTTAGTAAATATATCGGCAACGCGCACAATTCCGTCAGCTCCTCTAAATATTCTAGTGACTCTTCCCAGTGGCCACAAGCCCCTCGGCAGGGAAGAGTCCGCGATAAGCACGACGTCCCCCTCTGAAATCGTCAGTGAGCTGCCGCGTCGTCCTCTCGGAGTCAGTGTAGGCAGGTACTCTCGAAGCCATCGTGACTAAAAGTGATCCGCCAAGCAAAGTGTGTGCGGCCAGTCACATCGCCCTATCAAATCCGAATCCCCGAGTGAATGAGTCCATGGGCTGGTGAACGAAGACCCAAGAATAAAGTGAAAAGGCGTCGTAGATTCCGGAGTCTGCGGCGAGGCTGATATATAGGTCAGGGGTCTGGAGCTTACTATTCCCTCGACTTCGGCTAGCAGGGTTGTTAAAATTTCTTCTTTGGGAGCCTTAGTTTTCAAAATGTGTCTTAAGGCAGTCATTACCGTTCGGACAAGGCGCTCCCATGAAGGGCGACGCAGGGGCGATGAACCGCCACTCGATCTTGTGGTTTGTGGCAAAATAGTGGATGATGTCGCCGTGTAATGCTCTCGCCAGTTGCACAAACGCCCATTAAATTTTTCATTAGTTTAAAGTGACATTACCCATACAAATTTGTCATTCATTAGTGCTTAAAGGCGTCATTAAACCCTAATGGACGTTTGTGCAACTGACCGTCAGTAACCTGTTAGCGCCGATCAAATTGGTCCTGTTGTCCGACATGATAACAGATGGGGATCCTCTACGGGCTATAAAGCGTCTTAAGCTCAGGAGTGCAGAATTCGATGATAGCGATCCGACGATTTCGAGGTGTAATGCTCTGGTAACGAGACAGGTGTATGGCTACATAGCGCTTCTCATGCCTACGATTCACAGTTACATCCACTGGGCCAAAATAGTCGGTTCGAGACGTACCGATGGCAGG